GTTCATGGATTTATCGATGTATGTCAACAGCTTCTATTTCGGTTTTAGTGAATAGGACACCTATAGAGAAAATTTACACCGCAAGAGGATTAAGACAGGGATGTTCGATTTCTCCTATGATGTTTAATTTGGGTTAGTTAAAGCAGTGGACAAGGGGTTGTTTTCGGGTCTTGAGTTAGGTGTTCATGATCGTTCCTTCATGCTATCGCATTTGCAATTTGCGGATGATCTTATAATTTTTAGCGAGACATCTATACGTGATTTGTTGAATGTAAGAAGGGTGCTGCTAATTTTTGAGTTGTTGGCGGGTTTGAAGTTAAATCTGGCTAAGAGCATATTGTTTGGAATTAATGTTGAGGAGGAGGTGGTTGTTTCTTGGGCTAAGGAAATTGGCTGTTCAGTGGGATATTTTCCATCCGAGTACTTAGGCTTACCTTTGGGGACCAAGAGGAATTCGATTGCATTGTGGGATCCAGTCGTACAGAGATTTCACAACAAGTTGACTGGTTGGAAGGCTATTTCTCCATCGTTGGCGGGCAGGGTGGTGTTGGTTAAATCAGTGTTGTGCTCCCTGCCCATTTATTATCTTTCTACCTTTCGAATGCCCGGTTCTGTGGTAAATAAATTAAATTCTATTATGACATCCTTTCTTTGGGGGGAATCGACAGGAAAAAGGAACATTCATTGGGTGAATTGGAACTTAGTGTGTAAGCCTAAAGAGGTTGGGGGTCTAGGGATTCCGAATTTGATACTTTTAAACAGGGCTCTTCTCGGGAAATGGGTATGGAAATTTGCTACTGACAAGATTTCTTGGTGGAAAATAGTGGTGTGTTACAATTTGGATCCCAACTCCACCATGATTGGGAATTCATGGATAGCTCGTGCCTCTTGGATTTGGAAATGAGTAGTTAAAAATTTCTTTTCAAGTGATGGTTTTGGGGATTGTCTAAGGAGAAATTTGCGTTTGAGAACGAGAAATGGAGAATCGGTGGAGTTTTGGCATGATGTGTGGCTGGGAGTAGTTCCTCTTAAAGATCAGTTTCCGAGGCTTTTTGCTCTCTCGAATAATAAAGGGGGTAAAGTTGCAGAGTTCATGGTTAATAACGCTTTGGGTTGGGTTTGGGATGTTCAAATGAGAAGGAACTTGGTGGACTGAGAGGTTGAACAATGGTTGCATCTTGTCTCGTTGTTGAACTATTGGCGATTAAGAGAGGACTAATACTTATTGAAGAATTAGGATCTGCCCTAAGTCAGAGGGTTATTTTAGAATCGGATTCGTGTACAGCATTGAAGGGGATTAAAAATACAGACTTATGCATCCCTATGTTTCAGTCCTTGGTAAAGGATATAGCTACTCGTATGGAAGGACAAGATATCATTTGAAGGCATGTCCTGAGAGCTGCTAATTGGGAAGCGGATAAGTTAGCTAAAGATGGTATAGGCTGATCAGTAGGTTATGATTTTGGTTGTGTATTATTGTTCTGATTAATAAAGTTTATAGGAACTCTTTTCCTCCATATGTCTTTCATGTTACTGTTGCAATATGGAGGGTATGAAGGGGGTTTTTAATGAGGCCTAATTTCCTATTAAAAAAAAAAAGAGAACCTTCCCAACCTAGAGGGAATTTTCATGTACACCTTCAAGGTTTCCATTTAGGAATGTATTTGTAATGTCTAATTAGAAGAGAAGCCAATCTTCATTTATTGTCAGTGAAAACAAATTCTAACAATGTTCAAGGCTAAGGTGCAAAAGTCTCCTGGTAATAAATTCCTTAGTATTGTGTGAATCTTTTTATCACTAGTCTTGACTTGGACCTTTCAACACTCCCATTAGAGTTATATTTGACTATAAATATCCTTTTCCAACCTATTGGTTTCTTTCTTGGAGGTAGTTGAGTAAAGACTTGTGTCACTGTTTTCTAGGGCTTTAATTTCTTCTTCCACTGCTTTCCGCCATTCTGAATTTCCTTAGTTTCGTGTATGGTATTTGGGATTTGAATTGTGCTGAGTGACATAATGAATGCTTTGAATGATATCAATTTCTCATAGGCAATATACCTTTTAATAGGATGATTTGTGCATTTCCTAACCCCCTTTCTCTAAGCTATAGGTAGGTTAGAATTATCAATAGATGAAACAAGAATTTCACTATATGAAGCTTCCATACCTTTGTCCATTTCTGAAGGCAGTAGGAGTCGGTTCCTGGCATGTTCTGAGTTGTGTAGTATTTAGTTTTCAAATGCGCACCTAGGTTGCCGGAAAAATCGCTTCCGGTGGCACAGGTGCAGTGCAGAACGGCGGGCGCACGCTTTTCTCGCTTTTGGGCAAGTTCTCTAGTTTTGATTTTGCTTATTTCTTTGTTTTTATTCTTAGATTGTTTATCTTTTTTTATTATTATTTTGAAAATTGTTTCTCTTTGGCTGTTTTGGGGTTATTTCTTTCTTTTTGCTTTGGTTCCCTGCAGTCTTTATTGAAGCTTTGGTTGTTTCCTGTTAGTGCATTGCACATGGACAGCATGTAATTGTTTTTTTAAAGTTCAATGAATAGTAGACTGGCTTTTCCCTTTTCAAAAAAAAATATTTAATACATGATCTCAAATTATACAATACAACTGTAATAGATAGGATTCATGCCATCGTATTCTCTCAATTTGCCATTCTTTTAAAATGATTTATTTTTATTTATATTATTAAAATTTTATCTATATTTATTAAATTTTGTTTATATTATTTTAAATTTCAGTTTGTTGAAAAATGGATTCGGGGTTAATTTCCACCGGATCATCGAACCCTTCAGATACGGCAAGAAAATATAGAAAATCAGAACTTACAAATAAGAACAAAATATGTTTTGAGTACAAAATATGTTGTATAATTGATTTATAGGTTTAGTACAAAAATGTGCCCTGCCTACGAAAAGCATGCGCCTTCGCCTTTTCCCTAGGCTCGAGGGACCTTTTGTGCCTTGCACCTTTTAAAACTAAGGTGTAGTATCTTCTAGGCTCCCCTTAGGTTTCTCTCTCCTTGTGTAGACGCGAAGTTCTTGATTTTCCAGTTGAGTGTGCGGTGGTGTTTGAGGTTTTTGAAGAGTTTTGGAAGGTATAATTGATGTTTTTTGTGTAGATGGTGGATTTGTTTGGGTAGTCTCAGGTGTTTTTGGGATAGGAAGGTATTTATGTGGTATGAATAGTTTGATCTATCGAGATCCACTTATGTTTCCAACTTTAGAAGGGCTCCAAGTGTCATTGTGAACAACTGAAAATGGTTTTGATGGTGTGTAACTGTTCTTGTATGTTTGGAAAGTTGATAGATTTCGCAAGAGAAATAATAAGGATTTTATTAACAAATAACTTGATAAACAATTTAGCGAGATATGAGAAATTAGGATGTCTTAACCTAAAATGTCATATCATGATTTCATTGGAAAGAAACTTTGGACGAATAGGGGATATAGAAACAGTTTAGGTAGGAAGCACAACGTGATTGAACTTGTCTTTTAGGAGTAGTATACATTGGAGTAGGTAGAGTCCACCATACAGCTTAGCAGTTAGCACTGCCAATCACCTTCCCCGAGTTCAGTGCTTGAAATTCACAAAAATCATAAATTTAGTATAGCACTTTAAATTATGAGAAAGCTTGCTATAATACACTGAAGATTGCACGTTAAGTGAGGAATATAAAGCATAGATGAAATAGGGAGAATCTTGGCGAGTTGAATGGTGTCAAATGTCAATTCCTTCAAATTTTGGAAAAGATCCATCTGCTGTCTTTACATTGGATGGCGTTTCTAGTGATCGAAAGTTCTGAAACATTCTGATACCACCTTTCATGTTTGATGCCCCAGAGTCTACTATCCATGTTGTGGAGGTTCTGTTACCAGCAATATTTGCAAAGGACTTGATGAGCTATGAAGCTTTTGTGCTGATCACTAGGTGTCGTCATGTTCCCAAATATTTTCTGAAGCTTTTCAATATGTTCTTTGCTGAAGAACTTGCTGTCACTGCTCTCATTTGTAACCTCGGTCAAGTTTGCTTGGCTGTCTCTGGCCTGTTTTGCTCTATTTGATTTTTAATCCACCATGGTCTTCCTCTCTTTTGTTTGCCACCTTGGGCTGATGTAGTGTACAAGGCAGAGCTATCGGTATTTATGGAGCCAACTGATGTTGCCATCATCAATCTTCATCTACTTTCCTTTCTTTGAACCTCAAAAACACTTCTCGAATGGAGCGCAAAGTTTTGTTGTTTTGGATCCTTCCCCTTGCCTCATCAAGTTCTTTGTTGAAACGAAACAAGAATTGAAAAATTCTCTTACGGGCAGTGATTTTCTTGTACAAAGCTGCACCATCATTACACTTTTCAATGATCATTATCAAGTAAATCAATTTGCTGCCAGTACCATGTCATTGTGTTGAAATATTCGGTAACATTCATCTTTCGATATCAAAAAGTTCTGAGATATTGTTTGAGTTGGAATATGTCTCTTTGATTGCTTCCCAGATCTCTCTTGTTGTGCAGAGAAGAAATTTCTCTCCTATTTCTGGAGTCATCGAGTTGATTAATCAGGACATGAGCTTGTTTTCACTTCTCCATAATCGATATTTGTTGTCTGTTTGTTCTGGGATGGACATTGTTGCCTAGAGGTAGTCATCCTTGCTTCTCCATAATTGAGATGTACAGTTAGGTGTTGGCAATGTTGGTTTGGGACGGATATTGGTTAGATCCTGAACTGATTTCCGATGATGATTATGTTGATGGAGTCGTCATGGAAAGGGTATATTTATTAAACCTAGCAATATACCTTGTAGCATTTAAGAAGGATTTTTGAAATAGAGAATAAGATGAGTTCTCTGGTTTTTGATTTCGTACTTTTTTGATTTCATAGGTTAGTGCTTCATATTGACAGATTACAAAGAAGGTACAACTTCAATAAAATTCTAACTTAGAAACCTATTAGGGTTCTTTGCTACAATCTACATTTTTCATTATTATTTCACAAACTGCAGGTCCAGGCAGCTGATTCTTTGCTTAAGTTGGTGTCTGAGTTGAAGCAGACGGCAATCTTTTCAGGATTTGCATCGCTTAACGACCATGTTGAGCACAGAACTAACGAGTTTAACCAACAAGCAGAGAAAACAGATCGAATGTTAGCCAGAATTGGAGACGAGGCTGCAGCAAGCCTCAAGGAGTTTGAATCTCATTATTATTCTTCTGCACAGAGGACAGCCGAGACTGAATAAGCCATGTGAAGCAGAATATACTCCGAATATCTTTATCTAAAGGAGAGCTCTTGTCTGATGCCATTATGTAATGAATTTCTGGGAACTCAAAATCATGTTGTAAGATGCAAACCTATTGAATTTCTTGGCGTTCGAGTTTATCCCATTGTAATGAAGGGTCAAAGAATTGTTTCTCAACAGGGAGATACCAAAAATAGATGAGTAGAGATCTACAATAATTATGAACTGATGAAATATTAGAACTGAAGGGAAACTATTTGCTCGAGATCAATTTAAATTCCCCTTTAAATTCATTCATCACCCTACACTTTGCATGTAAGAAAAATAACAGCTTGTATCACTTGGCATCCACTTCGTATACTTGCCAAAAATATCTCCAACAGCAAACCGATTTAGCACCCCACATGGGAAAATGCAGCAGATGGGCTTCTACACAAGCAAAAGGCCTTTGCCTATGAATCATGATTCAACATATAGTTACAGACTTCGAAGCGTGTCCACTCGAAATATGACACCCAATGCCTTGATCCAGTTGATATCGAAGTCGATAAAAGGAACCGATGACAATCTCCAAACAGGGAAAGAGTCTGTCTTTGCTTCATTTGTTGGGTAGTGGTTACTGCTTTTACACAATCTATGGTGCTTGATTAACCTAGTTTTTCCACTGTCAAATTCCTGGCTCTTACTTATTCCAGGTGACTTTTTCCTCTTACTTACATCCCGAAGCATCTCTTGATCTTCGACTGTCAGCGTAGATGATGGGGACTGCTTATGAGTTGACAGTTGAATCGTCTTCTGGTTCGGAGACATAATCGGAGACTTAACCGGAGATCTGATTCCACCATTGCTAGCCCTTACTTGGGTAACAAGATGGTGGAGCGACACTACCAGATCAAGGATACAAGCTTCAGTTTTCTCCTTGTAAACATGGTGTAGCGTCTCGTTTCTCAGCAAGTTGGACTGGCCAGCAGGTTTACGACTCATCTCTGACCTGAAAATTTTGAAAAAAGAGACGAGTAACAAAAATGCATTAAGTAAACAAAAAGCATCTAAACTCAGGAAGTTACCCGGTGTTTGCCCATTCTCCGACCCAGCCAAACGCATGATGAGATCTAGTTCCAACAATTTGGGACAACGGAAACAACAATGAGTAGTCGGAAATAAACTCGAAAGAACAATAACTAGCACGCAATGACAAAATAATCCATTGTGGAAGATTGCTATTTACTTGGTTGTATTAGTGGCAATCGGAACAAGCCACTGCAATGTTTTCTCCATTTCAGCTTTGATATGTGGCACAGTTAGCCACAAGGAAAATTCGAAAATGTATTGGTCCGGGCAAATTATAAGTCAATATTTTCAACAAGCTTAAGGCTAGCAGCATCTTCAAAATCCCAAAAGAAAGTACAAGAGATAAGCAAACAGCAACTAATATTTCAAGTCGAGATTATCGAACATCACACCTCTTCCTTTAACCGAAAGGACTGTAGTCTAAACCGTAGAGCAGACTTTGTAGTAGTTGGCAGCCCTTGGTATAACGAATCCCCTGTATTAGGGGGGGAGGGACAAAATTCGATCGAGACACCTGAAGTGTACATTTGAGTTATAAAATTTATTGAAATTTGCATGTTGTTACTAAATTGCTTGGAGAGAGATATTCAAACTCGCCCATAACGATTCACGTAACCCAATTTATCATATTATCATTCATATAGCCACTTCTACATTATGAAAGAAAAAAAGAAAAAAGATCATAATACAAAGTATCCACCATCCTTAATCTATAAGACTATGTACACTCACTAGATTGCCGAGGGAGCGGTTCAGTCATCCATTCTAAGTTTTCCAAAAATATACCACCGCGAATTAAAGGAGATGATAAAGCAAAGATGTAAAAGTGAATATAATTCACCAGGAGAATACGATTAACTTACAAGAGTATCGATTTGGGTGATGATATTCGCATAATGCAATCCAAGACCAGCCGGCCCCAACCTTTTATGACTGTTGCAGAACCTTTAACAGGTTTATCACCATCTGCAACATTTTTTTTTTATAAGAATTTTAGGCCTCATTAAAAACCCCCTTCTTGATTAATGGATCTTTTAAGAAAGCTCCTTAATCAGCAGAAGGAGGAAAAGAGTGCCTTAGAGGTATATTAATCATAAATAGAGTACACAGGATACAACCAGAAAACACACTTAAAACATAACCACATAAGATCGTAAACACAAAAATAACCAGACTTCCCTTAAACATCAAAACTAACACAACCCCTAAACATCGAAACACCACCAATAACCTACAAAGAAACCTCTAACACAAACAAAACAATTCATCCAATCCCCTGTTTGGCCAGAGAATCTGCCTCACAATTGCACCTCCTCGAGATGTGTCTTACAATGATCTGCCTGTCCAAAACAAGAGAGAGAATTTTTCCCACCATCAGACTAAAAAAGTTGGCTGCTTAATCCAGTCCACTACTGCTTTACAATCACTCTCTAATATTAACCTTCCCTTCATCGCCCACTCCGACGAGAGAAAGAAATCAATGCCTTTCTCCACGGCTTTCAACTCAACCAATGGAGGGGGACCTGGACCAACAGCACTCGAAAAAGACCCTAAGACTTTGCTGTTCGAATCTCTTAAAATTCCCCCAATTCCCCCCAACAACCCATCCCCACTGACTGCCCCATCAACGTTAACCTTGAAAAAATGATCACCATCTGCAACATCACAGGCAACATCCAAGACAAGTATAAAATTCGTAGATAAAATAGTTCCATTTCCAAATGTTCCGAGTTCAATTGTTTAGAAATCTTACCAGAAGTACTAAATGCCTCGTGAATCTCCAAGTGCAAGAAATAGACAATATCTACAAGCTTCTCCATGACCTATAAATGCAAGGTATAAAGCTTCCACTAGTACATATTAACTTTAAAGTAAAGCAGCAATCAACACTGGTAAATCACGTGCAGAAGGGTGCATAAGTTTAGACTCCACCAAAAGACGAAAAGGGATGAACAACAATGCAACTTTTAGAAGTTATATCATAAATACACGAAAGATAATACGAATATCGCATAGAGCTTTACTAGTACCTATTCCAAAATCTTTAGACCAAAGAGATTTTTCCTTCAAACTTTTTACATGCTTCATTTGACTCTTTAACTCTGCTCTCAATATTGCAAGGCTGCCTCCTACATGCCAAAATGAAAATAATCTCAAAGGGACGGGTTTAGACGGCATTAACTATATTACAGAAAATTTCTATGGAAGGGGAAAAACTTAATTTGCATAGAACTTGACAGCAAATTTGCAAACGAAATGACATTAGAACGAGCACTAAAATGCGTACAAGGACAATGGTAAAGCTTACAAGTCCATTACAATTACAACCAAATTGACCCTTTGGGATTTTGAATAGAAATACAGAAAAACTAGTTGTCTCTTCTACATATCAGCACCTTTTTTAGTGTTTGATACAATTCACCATTTTAATATCGAAACACAAATTAGAAACACCTTGTTAACCAAGAAGTATATCACAGAGAAGTAACAATTATAATAGAAAGACAAACAACAGGTTTACCCCTTTGAGCAGCATGCGAATCATCCTCTTCTTGAAGCTTAAGTCGATAATCTTGTTCAAATCTGTACTAGGCATGCAACTCATGATATAATTCCTGCAAAGAAAACAAAAAATGGCATCAACATAACTTTAACAAATTCCAAATATGTAATTTAGAGAAGGAATTCTGAACTGTAACATGTTAATCGTAACAAGCCTTACAATTATGATATCTACCCACCAGCTCATATTCAGAAGAAAGAACAAAAAAGAACCCACAAAAACCAATATATTTACCATGTGCTCCGTATATCATTCAATGTCTAAAAACAAAAGGAAGACGAAGAAGACCACAACTTAGTACATGATGGAAGATATATGAATCATCTCGGTTTAAACAATATAATTTCGAATGCAACTTTTGAGAGAAGCTTTCTTGTTATAACTGTAAGACGTAGAACTTAAAGCTGTAAAATGAACATAAGTCATCAACTGTTGCATCGTTGTCTCTGCTTCTTCCTTCAATTGCTTTTCAAGTGTAAGTTCCGAACCCAACCTGAAAGTATAAAGTGAAGGATCGAATATTAGAATCTTATTCTAATTCGTAGACAACACCGAAAGAGTGCAAGCCTTGAATTTACTTTTCAAAATAACGATCCATGTTGTGCCATTGAGGATCTTTACAACGATTTCCAAAACGTACGAACTCTCCAGAAAAAACTTTCAGCTCATCCCTGTTGAAGTTGGGGAATGGAAAGAGCCCTCTTATATTCTTTGAGAACATAAATACTACTTTAGAATATCAACAAATTATATAACAACCGAATGATATTTCAAAATGGCATTTTCTGCATTATCTACCTCTTATCAGCAGCTGCAATTCTCAGGAATTCATCCATATCTCTTGATATTAAATTTTGTACTCCTTCTGACCGAAGGACCACCTCTTTTAAATGTCTAATATTCTCCTTAGAAAGCGATTGCATTAGATTGGCGCCTTTAACAATAGTATTTGCAACTTCAAAAGATAGAATCGATATTTTATTCCCTTTTGTTGTTACCCCTGAGGTAAAGCTACTGCCAAGATTCAAATTTGTCATGATACTACAAAGGAATCCACCGCCTTTCCAAACCCAGCAGTACCAGCTCTACCTAAAAGAGAGCTAACCTCGGAAACTTGAAAGGAAGGCAACCAATTGATCTTCAAAAATTTGTGAAGCGTGTTCCCTAGATAATACTCATCAAATAAAGGTTGTAATTCATAACAGTAGAACCAGAAGCATCCCTATTTGCTCTAATCTCAGCTGGGAACTAACAACCAGCAATTATATAATGCTAGAATCCAAAGATTTAAAATATTAGAATGACCAATAACCCAATTAGACAGACAGACAAACAGATAGAGAGATAGATAGACACAAAGATAGAGAGATAGACAGAGAGATAGAGAGACAGACAGAGAGATAGATAGACAGACAAACATAGATATAAATAGACAAAGAGATAGAAAGAGGGATAGACAAAGAGACAGAGAGATAGCCAAATAGACAGATAGATAGATAGACAGATAGACAGACAGATAGATAGACATACAGTTAGACGGACG